CGAGACCTTGGAAAATAAAAACTAAAGATAATAGATCAAGGGCTTCCAAAATGAAAATTGGCCAAAAAGCAGTCTAATTTTCTTTTTCCTCTTCAAACAACTTCCATTTGCTTAGATCTACTAATTTTTGGGAATTCTTACCCAAAATCTTAAACATATGGTTTAAGCTAATAAAATACACTATTTTCCTATATAATCCTACTTATTAAACGGCGATTAAAAGGAAAATTACCTTAAAATTTATCAAACAAAATCTTTTCTCTAGATCTTAAACATGCAAACAATTGCTCTTTGAATATCAGTCACCTAAAGCAAGAAGAAAAAAATGTTAGTCATCAATTCTTGAAATAAATGACCTATGATTTTTTCAAACACTTTCATAAAAGATAATCACCTTAATTAAAATGTACCAAACAAAATCTTTTCTTTAGATCTCAAACATGCAAACAATTGCTCTTCGAATATCAGTCACCTAAAGCAAGAAGAAAAAAAATGTTAGTTGCCGATTCTTGAAAGCAAATGATCTATGATTTCTTCAAACACTATTGTAATAGATAATTAGAGAGCAAATGAAAAGACTGATAATCATTAAAACCTTAATTAACTTTACAAAATAGAATGAAATTTTGGTTGCTAGGTTTACTAAGAGGGGTGTGTGCGATTTACTCGAGGAGAGTTGGTCCTTTTAAAGGACTGAGTAAGGGTATCACCAAATACACTAAAATTAACTGATATAATTGTCCAATTAGAGAAGCGATAGGATGCTGAGTCAACAAAGTAAAATTATCTTATATTTACATTTGACATTGCATTTTGATTAGGAAATTTCTTCATTAGGGCTCGACGCAATCTTGTTTGGATTTTCTCCAACGTGGCAATGTAGCTATTTTCAGAATATAATTAATAACATTACCAAATAAAGAGAAAAAATTTTAACCAATTAGAATAATTTTTTTGGTTAATTTTTATGGTCGCGATTTCTCTACACTAGCTTATGTGCATGTTGAAACTAATTTATTTCTAAACGATTTTAAATTTTTAATGATGCACTCTTCATGTCAATTTAGTGCATTAAAAAAATTTAAAATTTCTAAGGTGATGATCCCAAATATTGAACCTTGAACTTGATTTATAAAACAACACTTATTTACCTTTTGATCTGATGCTTGAGAGTTGGTTGGAATCAATTTTCATTTGCCATATGAAAATTTTCAAAACTTCAAATTGGTCAGAAAAAAATTATGGATGAAATTGACCATATCCATAAAGTTTAAGGGCCCAATTTATGTTTTGCACTTTCCACTTACCCCTACCAAAATTTCGGTTTAAAGCCAACTGTCGTCCCTCTACTTTAATATTTTATTCGTTCTTGTCCCTCTACTAAGGTCATGTTCGTTGTCGTCCCTCTACTCTCCAACGAGCCAAAACGTCGTCCCTCTACTTGGCTTTTTTTGTTCGTTGTCGTCCCTCCCCTAACACCGTCCATGTTGCCGTCACTGCTGACCGTTAAGTCCCAAACGGTCAGCAGTTAAACCCATTTCTTTTTTTTTTATTCCACATATGCTGCCTCACTCAGCCAGCAGAGCAGCCATGCTGGTCAGGATCAACACCCTCCTCCAGGGATACTCTGGCATTCGATTTGAAATTTAGAGGCAATCACAAAGTTCCTCAACCAGAACATCACTCCATGCTTGCCACTCCGCGGCACAATCACTGCCTCCGGTGATCTCGTTCCCCTGTCCTACATAGCTGGATTGCTTACGGGCCGTCCAAATTCTAAGTCGGTAGGACCCAACGGAGAAACCCTCAATGCCAAGGAAGCCTTCCGGCTAGCTGGAATCGAATCGGGGTTCTTCGAATTGCAGCCAAAGGAAGGACTTGCTTTGGTCAACGGCACTGCAGTTGGGTCCGGTTTGGCCTCAATTGTTCTCTACGAGGCAAACATACTTGCTGTCCTATAGGAGATTCTATTGGCAATATTCGCTGAAGTGATGAACGGGAAGCCCGAATTCACAGACCACTTGACCCATAAATTGAAGCACCATCCCGGCCAAATTGAAGCAGCCGCGATAATGGAGCACATTCTCGACGGCAGCTCTTATATCAAAGCCGCCCAGAAATTGCACGAAATGGATCCCCTGCAGAAGCCAAAACAGGATCGCTACGCTCTGAGGACTTCTCCCCAATGGCTTGGCCCCCAGATTGAAGTGATTCGATTTGCAACGAAATCAATCAAAAGGGAAATTAATTCCGTCAACGACAACCCTCTGATCGATGTCTCCAGAAACAAGGCACTGCACGGCGGTAACTTCCAGGGGACCCCGATTGGAGTCTCCATGGACAATTCCCGTCTGGCAATTGCATCCATAGGAAAATTGATGTTTGCCCAATTCTCGGAGCTCGTGAATGATTTTTACAACAACGGGCTCCCGTCGAATCTGTCCGGTGGCTGGAATCCGAGCTTGGATTATGGTTTTAAGCAGTGTTATCAAAATCGCGTTTTATATCTTAAAATCTTAAGATTTTACGATATTAGGTATGGATTCCGAGTAAAATCGACTTTAAAATCGGGTTTTCATAAAATCGGATGATAAAAACGTGAAAGCGCGTTCTTTTCGTAAAATCGTTTGAAATCTCGATTTCACTTTCACAAAAATTGAAGAAGAGATTTCCAGAAATTTGCCGCAGGGGAGGGAAAGATTTTGGATTGTTGCGGTGCCGGCGTGCTGCTGTTCACTGCCACTCCTCACATGTCAGGCACTGGCGGGATGGAAACCTATTTGGTGACCCAAATCATGTGGAGCCAGCCTTACATAGTAGGATTTGGTTGCTGCTGCTCACTGCTCAAGCAAAGAAGGATAGAATTTGTTGCCAGAAAAAGGAGTAGATAAGGATCAGGAGGCGGGCTTCAATGGAGAAAAATGGTAGAAAAAGAAGGAAGATGATAAGGCGAAGAAGGTGAAAGAATGGAGGGGTACTCCTTTTAGTGGGTAGTATGTTGACACGTGATTGGTGTTCTTTTTTGGGCAGTGCTTGCTGTTTTTTGGGCAATGTTAGCTATTAGATTTAGGGGCACTCGCCTCCTGCACTCTCCAGCTTTTATTGGGCCACCTAAGCTTACTTAGCCATGAATTGATGACCTCTCTGGAAACCAAC